AATTATTATCTCCTAAAGTATATCAAGACTGTCTTAAATGTGCAAGTATCTTGGATAAGGACATCCTGTACCTTGTGAGCTGAAGAATCTTGGTATCCCAGAAGTTTACTCTCTTAAAACTCCCTTCACTGCTGAGTCTACCGGCAAGTTGTGGCTGCCTGGTTTACGAGCTGAGCTACCATCCACACACACTCAGGACACACATGCAGGTGTACTCACTGTCCACAGAGTCTTCCTGTTCTCTATTTGTATTAGGCTGCCACTCGTTGGGTGTGGTGTGTACGCTTTACTGTGTAGGAATTATGAGATGGCGTTAATGTACTCAGAGGTTTAAAATGCAGAGAACCAGAGGAAGGCAGTAGCATATATATTATAAATATCACACTATTACAATGTTCATTTTGTAAATGTTGTATACCAGATTATTTGTTAGAAAGAGGTCAGTGTTCAGTACCAAGGTAGTTTTTTATAGATCAAGTACATGTACTGTCATGATATATTAGCACTTGATGCAATCATTCACTCCACTTCTCTCTCTCTCTCTTCCTCTCCTTTTCACAAACGCACACTACACAGTCTGTGTCTGTGAATACCCATTGTTAAAGTCTTACATTTGTTTGTTTTTGTGAAGGGATGTGAGGACCGACTGCCCAGCCAGTGAGCTATAGCGGAATGTATGAAATGTATGCATTTACAGCTCATGTTGACTTGATCACTGCACTTTCCATTCACCTCAGATCAAGTTCGCCCACCTTTGGTTGCCTGACCATTCTGACTTTCACTGCATCCTCATGTGATGTAGGGGACCAAGACTCACCACTTGACATGGCATTCCCATTCAAACAGACTACATGTGATAGGGTGGGGGTGTACTTGCTACTGGAAAGGAAATGGAATACATAGCAATAAATAAATCATATTAGAAGAAGCAATGCAGTAGGTACCCAGTCTTAAATGATTTAATTCAGCATCTCTAATAAAACTTTCTTAGAATGAAGGATGAATGTTAATTTCTTTTATGAACTGTCCTTGAAAAGACTAAAATCTCAGGTTGAACACTCAAACACATCAGTAAAACCACTATGAATTGATTATTTATTATATATCCTCAAATGAACTAGCCAAATGCTCAGAACCATTGCCAAATGTTTCAGTTCCAGACCTACTCAGTGTTCTTTAATAAGAAAAACAAGTTCACATAAGGTTCGGTTCAGTGAAGTACAGGCTTAATTTGACTGCTAAAATCAGCCGTCTCCTTCACTCCCCTTTCTAGCAGCTTGAACTCCCACCCGCTTGTTGAGAATGAAGAACTGTGGTACATTTCTAATTTAAATTGTAACGTCATTCGACACGTTTTGTGACTTTCATTCGAAAATGAGGTGAACCTAAACATGTCTTGACTTCTGTAATTATATAAAAATTAATGGTGCTGCGAGGGATTTCGTATTGTGCCAAAATGGCAACGATCATCAACATTTCAGTGTCATTTGATAAAGCTTTTATTTAAAGTGATTATTTTATTTAATCTGCTCATGAGTTTAGCTGTCTGTGTGCATATTCTCAGCAAAGTTTGTTTGTGTTCGGCTCACTCCAGATACGCTATGCCTACACTTTCAGCATGGGACTGGAACAGTTTCCACATTTCAGTTTTCTCAAATGGGAACACAAGTGCCAAGGGTACATGAGTGGAACAGGGCATAACAATTACTCATGCACAAGTGTAGGTTGACTCACTAGTTTTTTTGTTTTTTTTTCTAGTAAGAGCTGGCTCTCCCCCTACTGGTCAGTCCTTGCGTGACACTCCAGACATCTTGTCCTGCTCCATTTTGAGTCTTTTAGTTAACTCAGACAAGAAATAAAATTGAGCTGGGAATGCTGACACAATACCAAGTTGTTGATTTTCTTATTCTCTTATTTGTATTACATCAACAATGGACATGTGCATTTCATTGTCCAAAGAAATCATTAAACATCCCTTTGCTACATGTCCTGGTCATCATTCTTGCTGTCTTTTTTTATTGCACTCATCCATAATACAATGGTAATATTAACTGCAATGTTAATATTACACACAAATAAATCATAAGCATTAGATTAGACCTTTTGTTGTTACTGTGTAATCTCTAAAAGCATGGCCTTCTTACATATAAAAATATCCTTGCCAGTGAATTTTCAGTACTCCTTTAAATGAGTCTTGCAAATGATCTGAAACTATTCAATCTGTGTGAGGCATTCAGGGTATGTACTGTACGTAAAAGTTTATAACTGTGACAAATGGTGGAAAGTCCTCTCAGTTTTTCATATCATTTGAGAGCCGGATCCCTTTATTTGCCCACATACTGAACTTTAAGAGAGTGTGACCTGATCAGGGAACTTCAGTTTGTTTACCAGTACTTCCTGAGTTTCAAAGGGCTACAAAATGGACAAACAATGAACAGAAGGTGCAACTCTGAAGGAAGAATATATGGATGTGCTGTACAACCACCATGTGGACGAGGCGATGTTCTCTGGTTAAGTGATTTTTAGAATTTACGGAACTGTCTGAGACACAGTCGGCGCCGGTTGTCATGAATATCTCTGGAGAAAAAAATGGGTCATTGTGTACGCTTGATGGACAGAAACACACTGAGAATCATGAGCCCATTCTGACTTCAATACCCACCCTGTAGTGGCCGTCTCTCTCTGGCTACATATTCACTCTTCACATCTGTCCTCTCAGAGATCCAGCTTGGAAAATGAGCAAAAACTATGTAGTTCCAGATTATCTTGTACTGACGAAAGTTATTTTACAAAATAAGCACATATCTTACAGACAAAGGGTTGTTTAATGTTATGGTGTATTAGTTAGACACTGTGAGGCTAGTTTCTTTTAAGAGAATAAAGAATTGTGATTGCAATGAGTTATGTGGCATATTTTCTGTATGAAATAAGCTGTTGAATTAAAGGGGAATGCCACTCAATTTTGGAATGCATGTATGTTTTCCCTGATATATGTTTAAACAAATTACCTCAATTCTATTAATTGTTGTTCTTGGATCTGGAGCAGAAAATTAGTGTCCAGAAAACCTCTCTTTGTGATCCCAAAGCCACTTCTATTTCTTTCTTTTTCTTTCTTTTTGTGCACAGTTGCTTTTATTGTTTTATAACTTAAAATAAAACAAGGGTCAGCAAAACACTTCCATTTGGTCCACCTTAGTATGTAGTCATACAAAAAATCGTTCCTAGTAGTAACGATATACAATAATAGTTATTGTGTTATGCACATACAAGTGCCAATCCCACAGAGACTTATAAGACACATGTATTAATATATAAATATATGCACTAAATGAACAGTGTCCACATACTTTTGTCTGCTTTTGGTCTGGGACTGTACACAGTAGATCAAATTAAGGGGAAACTTAATGTTAAAAGTGTGCTTCCAACTTTTTTGCAGCAGTTTGGAGAATTCCCTTTCCTGTTTCAACATGACAGTCCCCCCTACTTATCTCACCCCTACCTGTCCCCTCCACCCCCACCCGCTCCTCTGGAAGGATCCTAGTGGTGATTAAACACAAGATCTGATCCTCATTAACCCTGCAGCATCCCACAGTGTTGGAGGTTTTTGCAATAGTGCAACTAACTACCTAGGGCCCCAACTTGGGGCGGGCCCTCAAGAAGCCTGGACACAAATCTTTGTCTTTATGTGCAATTTTGATTTTTTTTTTTTCTTTTTTTACTTAATTAACCTCATAAGTTAATTATTTTAGGTGGCCGATAATTGACCTGTAGATGAACGTTTCCCTCCCTCCATCTTCTCATGTCACTGTGGATGATAGATGCTGTATATCAAGCGATCACTTGCAGCAGTTTACAATGAAAGGAGTTTTGCATCAAACATCAAGGCCACATAGAGGCCAGAGAAGGTGTCTTGTTCTACCTTAGTCTTAGCCTTATGTAAACCTCAAAGTTAAAGTATCACTGATTATTCAAGTAACATTTAATACAACGTGGTACAAATAGGTGATTATTGATTACCCTAACAAGCACGACAGATGTACGTGTTTGTTATGCAGTTATTTGTGCTGTAGATATGAGGAGGTGAAGGGGGCCCACTGAAACAGTATATGCACAGGGCCCAAATTTTCTCACTACGCCTCTGTATGATTTACAATGCACTGACCAATGAGAAAGACAAGTGAAACAATGAATGTTATGTTTACAATTTTAGGTATTGGAACAGAAGGTGACCATCCTGTCCCACAATGTCCTGTAAAGTGATAACATCTCCTTCTGTGCCTGATAATACTTGAAAACACTGACACCAGCGCCAAATGACTATAGGCTCTTTCCACTCAGTGGCATTCTCCTTTACTGAAGGGGGATGCTGTTACAAGCATCTGGTCACGTCATAGCGCCTCCCACAGGCTTCATGGTGAAGGAGCAACAAATAATGGTGACCAGAAGCGTCAAGTCAGGCAAAGAGAGCCAAAGCGCCTTCAAAATAAATCCATTTAATCGCTTGATTTAACCGTCAAGGAGTGATTAGTTGATTGATAGAAAATTTTATAATTAATAATTATATTATATAGTTATATTTTATTTTATGCATCCATGAGAGGATGACTGAACGTCCCCACAATGAGCCCAAGGCATCACGGGTCCCTTAAGCAGAGATTATATTTGAAATTAGTCAACCAACCACGAAGAGACACAACTGGACCACAAAGAGATACAAAACGACCACAAAATAATTCAAAACAACCTCAAAGAGATGCAGAACCACCGCAATGATAGGAAAGAGAAACAAAAGGCACACAAAATTACTGTAAAGAGAAACAGAACGATTACAAAGACATACAACAAAATGAACACATTCAGACACGCAAAATATTCCAAAGGATGCTAGCTATAAAATGTTTTATTTTGAAAAAACACATCCAGAAGTTGTAGTTGTTTTCTGCGAGCTTGACAAAGGGGAACTTCCGGCAGCCTCAGAGGCCGGGGAGGTGGAGCTAAAACATCCGAGAAGAAGAAGAAGGTTCCGCCGACGATGAAAGCCAACTGGTGACAGCCTTGTAACAAAGGGGGAAACGAACATCACCCGGCACCTGCTATGTTTGGTAAGTTTAGATAAAACTGGGTTTTCATACCGCCTTTGCTTGAACGTGTTTTTCCTTTTTAAACGAGAATTATTCTCGTTGAAACAGAAGTGATGAACTTTGCAGGCCAGTCATGCACCAGCCACTGCTCAGCTATGTGACAGGATGACATACAACTTCTGCTCTGACTTATTACAGGTTATCATAATGTCAGAAATGTCGAACTGATGCTTTACCATTATTTTACAGCATTGACCTTATTATACTTAACTAGCTTTGGAATTTATGACCTGTACCCTGTGAACAAGGCATCAGTCACTATGCTTCTACCAGTCCTGTGAGGGGATCAAGGGATGTCTTTGGAAATCAGTAAGGAGTTTACAGGCATTTTCATTAACCTATTAACAAATCTCAACTAATGAATAACTAATGTCAAACACTCTGACAGACTCTCACAAGCCTGCAGTGAAGTCTATTGACCAAAAACCCTGAAAGTATTCATTTTAGTTTAGTGAAACTGAGTGGAGCTAAAGAGATTAGCGGGCTAATCGATTAATCTGTATATAATCGAAACTGCAGTGTGGTCAAGTGCAATATCTAAATCACAGGAGCTACAATTTTTGGTAAAATGTGTCATAATATACCATTAGATGCCCCACCTACATATCATATCCTCCACATGTAAGGGGACATGCTTGTGGGTGCAGACCCTCATTTTTATATTCTCTTGAAATTGTGACTAATATTGCAATCATAATATTGGTCAAAATAGTCTCTATATTACTTGCATATTTGCATATTGTTCAGCCCCTAGTCGATCAAGAGAAAAATAATTGCTACTATTTTCTACTATTTATCGATTTATCATTTCAGTCATTTTTCAAGCAAGAATTCAAAGCATTTTATGATTCCAACTTGGGAGCCATAAAATGTCCAGCTTGGACTGTTGGGCCGAGAAAACTAGGCAATTGATCATGTCAGCTTGGGCGTTCTATTTTGTTTTATGGACCAAACGATTGATCAATTTATCAAGAAAATAATGAACTGATGAATCGATAATGTAAGTGCCTGTTGTTATTAATGGAATAAAGCAAGCAATTCTTCACATCTGCAAAGCTGTTACCAGCAAACATGATGATATTGCAAGATTTATCATAACTGGAAATTATGAACTGGTATATATATTGAAGGACTGACGAATTAATAATTTCAGAAGTGGTAAATTGATGAGTGTATAAAATATTCTGATACTTTTATCTCCTGTGCTAATTGACTCTACCAGTTTCCTCCAAGGATTTCTGTTTCCGCTGTATGTGTTCAGCATCTTAAAATGGATTATCATCTGATATTGGATCTGAATATGAGTTGGCATCTGACAGTTGACTGCTGTACCATCAAGCAGTGTTTGATATGATACAGTAAAATCCTGTCCTCTCCAGAGAGATGCTGACCTCATCTTACCAGTGAGCATAGCTTGCCACCCCCACACCAGCCGTGACACGACAGCAGGACGAAGATCAGGCCCGTCATGGCTGCCAGGCAGCAGAAACCTGTAGCTGCTTCAGACGGCTCAGTGGAGGCCAAAAGGACAGACTTCAGGGCCAATGAGAAGAAGTGCTGTGAGTTTGTTTTTCCTCTGTGTGCACTGAAGGTGAAATGTGGACTCATTGTCCTCCTCTGTATTAATGATTGAACTCTGTGCACATTCACTGTTACATTATTACATGATGCAGTAACGTTGTGCTCTGATGGTTCTTTTAATTACATTACCTACTCTGTTGGCCATCAGTAAAGAGAGATAAGGTTTCTGCAGGCACTGATTGTTAAATGTCAACTTTGACGCACCTTCTGCCATTATTGTGTGTGTGTGTGTGTGTGTGTGTGTGTTTGCACAAGCAGGTACTACCACACACTTTTGAAGGACAGTAATTTCATAAGTGGCAAGGTCAACGTCCTGAGTTAGCAGGCAGAAATGTCACTTAGCTCAACTTAATTATAACTTCACAGTCAGACTTTGAGGAATCTTTTTAATCAGAAATGTGGACTAGAAATGATTTCATCAAAACATGTCTTGAACACAAAACTACCCCTGCCTGCCGGTTCTCAAAGTCACAGACATCTGTTTGTAGAATCTGGAGTCAGGTCTGGTCTTGCCAGGTCTTTGTTTTGACAGATTTGCTTTCCCCGAGCTGAGGATGATGGTCTGAGGTCTTTCACAGACACTGAAAGAAAAAGAAGAAAACAAAATAGTTAGAATGTTTTCCATTCCATGTTCTAGCCAACAAGGTAACACTGGATTAATAAATTTGGTTGCCAAGCAGCAGTACTTTGAGAAACATTATCCAGCAGTCCACAGATGACTGTGGTATTATTGAAATATTAAACTGAGTGTTGACCAGCTGGTAGATGAACACTGCAGGGGTGACACTGGACTATTTCTCAACTCTCTCTCTCTCACTCCTTGATGTCTGTATATATTTGTATGTGTTTGCACGTGTGTGTAAACATTATGCATGTCTGCTCTTTCATTACAAATAGGATCTTTAAAGTTAAAGTGAGGTTAAATGTTAAACAGCGTGCGCAATAACTAAAACCTGTGTGTGTGTGTGTGTGCTTATGCAAACTGCAGCTTGGGCCTCCTACATGACCAATTCTCCGACTGTGATAGTGATGATTGGGTTGCCCGCTAGGGGGAAAACCTACATGGCCAAAAAGCTGACACGCTACCTCAACTGGATTGGAGTGCCAACTAAGGGTCAGTAATAGAGGCAACATATGTTTGAGTTTTATGCATTTTAACATGTTGTAACATTTGATCTGTCCACAGGAAATAAAACCAATAATAATAATAATAAAAAAAAAAACAACTTAATATTGAATTTAGGGCCTTTTGTGAGCCCAGTGAAATATCAGTGTGATTTTAAAAAGGAAGTAAATTTTTTTTTGTTAGTATGTGGAGGAGGCCATTGTATTCAGTGCAAACATGCATCTGCAGGTAAAAACAGGGTGGTGACTTGATTATTCCTGCAGGAAAACTGGCAGTCAGAGACATTACTTGGACATTAATGAAAATCTCTTGCTTGAGGCAATGCTGTGTTAATTTGTTGTTAAAACTGTTATCGGTGCATCCTATCGCTCGGCTATGTTTGTAGTTGTCATGTAAATGGAATGTAGGAAAACGGGTTTGGCAGTTCGGCAGCTGAGATAAAGGTCACCGCCTTGATGGAGCACATGCAGTACAGCAATCCTTTTCATTGTCTTTGCATGTCTCTCTATGACTCTCTCCCTTGGTTCTCTTGCAGTATTTAACCTTGGAGTTTATAGGAGAGAAGCAGTGAAGTCGTACAAGTCCTATGACTTTTTCAGACATGACAACAAAGAAGCAATGGAAATTAGAAAGTGAGTGAGAGTGTTCATCTTGATCTTAATCTCCTCTGGCGTCGTAGACTGATTCCTCTTCCACCACTCAACACAAACACCTGGTCACGTTTCATGTAGGCTAGCTATGCAAATGCTTCTTTTGTTTAACAAATGTGGCTAAAAATATTCTAGCACATTATGTGCTGAAGATAATTTGCTGAAGATAATTAATAAATAATAAATGATTAGTTTTCTAATTGTTTCCACAGGAAGTGTGCTCTGGTGGCACTGGAGGATGTCAAGGTATATCTGAATGAGGAGGGAGGCCAGATTGCTGTAAGGACACAAATCTGAGAAGCATTTTTGTATTCTCTCTTAGTAAATGTTAAGTGTAATATTTGGCCTGATTATCTCCCATTGTCCGTCAGGTTTTTGATGCCACCAATACCACCAGAGAGAGGAGGGATCTCATCCTCCATTTTACAAAAGACAGTGCATACAAGGTCAGAATTACATTGATGATTTCATCATCTTAGCACTTAAAATTTTTTATACAGTTTATGAATTTCTCATCGATAATGTTTTTTGTTAGGTGTTTTTTGTCGAATCTGTATGTGACGATCCAGATGTCATCGCTACAAATATTCTTGTAAGTGACACATTTATGCTTATATATTTTAATCATGAGCTGACGTTTGTTCCTGAATTGTTAAAAGTCATCGTTGACAAAATCTCTTTCGCAAAGGATGTGAAGGTGTCCAGCCCAGATTACCCTGAGAGGAACAGAGAAAGTGTCATGGAGGATTTTCTGAAGAGAATAGAATGTTATAAAGTGACATACCAACCTTTAGATCCGGACGAACACGACAAGTAAGACATTGTTTTGTGAAGGACATTTTGAGTTGCATTTCTTTCTGTATTTGTTGTGTGTTTTTCTCGCCACTAATCCAGTCTAAACAAAAGTCATTCAGACTTAACTGTTTCCCAATTGTTCTTGTGTCGGCAAGAACATGTACTTGCAAAAACTGTCCTGCAGGTGGAAACAGGAGCTCATTTTTGATTCAGGTGATTATTCTCTACTGATGTCTGATTTGTGGAGCTGATGTACAGTAAATCTGAAGGTAGCAGCGATTAGGCTTCATGCTTTTTTTTCTTAATTCCTGCCAACTGGTTCAACTGCAGGTGTTTTGTTTGATTTCTTTATTAACTGATATTAATAATTTTAATACCATTTAGGCTCAATCCTTACCACAGGGACCAGGGTTCAAGTCCAGCCCGGGTCCTTTGCCAGATGTCATCCCTCTCTTTCCCCTTGATTTCCTGTTTCTCTCTCTCACTGTCCCTATCATAATGAAGGCAAAAAAACTTAAACTGAAAATATTTACAGATCCAAATACGTAACATACATGTATTTACATATATAAAGACTAGGTAGATACTTAACTTTTAACCTTTGATTGTAGAGAGGAGGAATAGTTCTTGGACCATATCAATGTTAAAGAACTGCTGACGTAGAAGGCTCTGACGCATTTGAGGGATGAAATATCGGGATATTTAGACTACACCGAAAGCACAAGATATCCCTTCCTTACCCTTGTGGCACTTTTTAAAATGTCTTTTCTCTCTGACCTACAGGAACCTGTCCTTCATCCAGGTCATAAATGTTGGCCGTCGTTTCTTGGTCAACAGGGTGCAGGACTACATCCAGAGTAAAATAGTCTACTACCTCATGAACATCCATGTGCACTCCCACTCCATCTACCTCTGTCGACATGGAGAGAGCCATCACAATGTGGAGGGACGTATCGGGGGAGACTCTGAGCTGTCAGAGAGAGGGAAACAGGTGCTTTAACGTATCCTCGTTATGAAGATAGCAGCGTCTCCAAAACTCTTAAAGGAATTGTACGACATGTTGGTAAATACACTTATCTGAGAGTTAGATGAGAAAATGAATACATCTCATATTTGTCTTTTTAAATCTGAAGCTGCAGCCATGAGCTTAGCTTCCTATAAAGACTAGAAGCAGGGAGTAACGGCTAGTCTTCGTCACCTATCAGCATATCTAAAGCTCAATAATAAACAACAACAACAGCTCTACTATCTTTGTCAAACTGAAAATGTTTTGCCAAGTCATAAAATTTACAACAAAGTTCAGGTATCACATTGTAGATTCACATTTTCTAGCATAAATCAATTAAGTTCTGCTGCTACAAATCAACATTAGGGCCACTATGGCAAGAATGACTTAATTTCATTCACTGTGTAACTTCTGTTTTTTCTTCAGGTGTCAGCTCTCCAGTATAACAGTGTCTTTCTCTGTTTCTCTTCATCAGTTTGCAGCAGCTCTGAAGGGTTTTGTTGAAGAGCACCATCTGTCAGACCTGAAAGTTTGGACCAGCCAGCTGAGACGCACCATTCAGACGGCAGAAGAACTGAGTGTTCCCTACGAGCAGTGGAAGATCCTCAATGAAATAGATGCTGTAAGTCTTCTTTAATACCACAGCAGTGACGGACGCGCTGTGAGGGTCTGTTGTAGGTTTTGAGTGTTGTATTTTTGTGTTTCAGGGAGTGTGTGAAGAGATGACATATGAGACGATAGAGGAAACGTACCCAGAGGAGTTTGTCATGAGGGACCAGGACAAGTATCACTACCGCTATCCAGGAGGAGAGGTAAAAGCTCTTCCTTTTACTAAAAGTGATGTTGAATGATAGGTGTTGTCGGCAGTGTGAGTGTGTTGAGGATTTGTGTAACTGACTTTTTTATAGCTGAGTTATTGTACATGGAGCAATTTGGGATTTTATTACTGAATTATGTACCCATACTTTTAATTTCTTTAAATATGTGGACATGTGATCTTTTCACATCACAGATTATAAACAAAGACATTAAGGGAGCTATTTTTGAGTTTTACTATTGCTGCATAGACAACTTTATCACAAACAGCTGTTTACTTACCAGTCTAGAAGAAACTTTGCACTTTCAGCATCAAATTTTATTCTTTTACTCTCCAAGAGCTTTCTTCAGTGGTGGAGAGCAAACCCTTTTGTTTTGCTTCTATTTCTATTACTTCTTTTCTTCAACTGAAGTCAGCATGCTAACCAGCTAGCCCCAGCTCTGTCAGCCCGTCTTGTCACTTTCTGATACTAAGTCACTGTAGCATCCCCACTGCTGTGAAGAAGTAGCACTGTTAGGAGGGTGTATTATAGGCGTTAATGCTAACGCTGGCTATGTGGCAACAGCAGAAACTTACAAATAGCTCCTTTTAAAACATGAGTCTGACAGGTAAAACCTGTGAATTGACATGTAGCTGTTATATGGGTTTAGTGCAGAGTAGCTGCTCTGGAAATAATACCTTACCTAATAATCATAGCTAAGGTATACTGAAGAAAAAAAAAGCATCAGTAACCAATGGTTAAGAAAAAGTGGGAGCCTTATGTAAGACAGAAAACTGAATTAACCTCGACTCCAAACTCTGTGTCAGTTGACTTGACTTGATATGTACCTTTCCTCTCTCTCTAGTCGTACCAGGACTTGGTTCAGCGGCTGGAGCCAGTTATCATGGAGCTGGAGCGACAGGGAAACGTTCTGGTCATCTGTCATCAGGCTGTCATGCGCTGCTTGCTAGCCTATTTCCTGGACAAAAGCGCAGGTTATGTGCATGAACAGAAACATGATACATGCTAAGACAATGACTTACATTATAAAGACCTGTTTATACCGGTTTTTCTTATCTCACTGAAGTGATACTTCTATAACAGTGCAAAACAGCTTCATAAGGTAATTCAAAGCCGTATTGTTCCAAAGAGGAAAACATTTACACATTGCAGCTGACCTTAATGTTTCTGAGGGCGTGTTGAAGACACACTAGAGAGATATTCAATATGACCTGAATTTACCAAGGTAATGCCTTAATGAGACAGAAAAGCATTTGTATTTATGATAGGAAAAGAACTAAAGATAAAAAGGCCCAGTCCATCTAATGGAAAAGTGCAGCTTTTAATGGGTGAGTTTCCAAAGCACTTGACTGATGCCAAAACAAGCATCTATTTTTGTTGGTGCGGTGGAGAGTATTAAATGTAGCCGTACAACATTTAGGCATTTTTGTGATTTTTAAATATGTTTTTCCATTTCATCTGCTACTACTATGCTCTTTGGATTTGACATGGTGCGAGAACTGCTCCTAAATGAGGGGAGGTGCTGACATTTTGTAAAAAGTTATTAACAATTAAATTAATTACTGTACATTTCAAAACATGACTGCACAAGCTTTATGTATATTTTAATTAACTCATGCACAAACAGCACAAGATTATTACAAAATAATCACACGGAATTAGGTGCTTCTGTGGAAATAAAACTGGTTGGTTTAATCTTGTATTTTACAGGTATCATCCAACTTTGTTTTGTAAATACATATATCCTTAACACTTATAACAGGATTAGGCATAGGCTCAGGCTATTAGCTTGTTGGGTGGGTGTGCTTATCTGCCCGCTAGGTCTTGGTCCGCCTTAAGCTCCAGGCCACTGCAAAGACCCATTCAGAATAGACCCGCCCAGAAATTAGATCACTAAGTACACTAGTGACTGACTTGTGGGTGATGTAGATGTGAGACAGAATAATGGCTGCAAATATTTTAGAAAATTTGACCTTGGTGGCTTGTGAAGCAATTATTTATTTTACAAAAAATTAATCGCTCTCTGACATGTTTTTTTTTGCCACCACAAGAGGACACTGAAAATTCATCACACTGCCTTTAATTATCCATGCTACATGATTGATTAAAACATAAAGTGCCAAAAGTACAGCACATGATAACATCTGTGGGATGCTCTGCTGCTGCAGTAATGTCGACTTCTGCAGATGTGAGTGACAGATTTTTTAAATAGTTTTTCCAAATAAACAAAACAGTGTTTCATAGTATAAACAACAGCAACAACATGAGACAATTGCAGATTCCCCATGGTGAGAATAACATAAGGCCCATTTCATATATTTTAATGACAGAACAAGCTTGTCATATTGTAAAGGACTCTTATCCTGTAATGTAATGGACTTATATCATAAATAAATTGGTATGGGAGTGCACTGTAAAGATTCAAGGATCAAGGCAAAAATAAATAGAATGGGGGAAAAAAATAACAATCAATTTCCAAAAGCAAAAATAAATAAACCAAAATAAAAAGTATAACAACATTTTACATTTTGGCTTGATTGTAATGCAAATAGTGGAAACAAAAAAAAAAACAAAAAAAAAACGTGCTTACATTTGATTTAATGTTGTGAGCACCCAAGTAATAACCGCATGGTCAGAGTGGAAAATGATGTTCTAAGTCAGTTCCATAATTAGACCTGGGGCAGACGTTAGTCAGGAGCGGATGTGGTCATCGTTGCAGCATCTGTGTAAAGGCTAAACCAACCATTGTGGCTGCAGCTCTGACTGGCATTTTATCCACTGCACCCTCCACCTTTTGGACTTGTACTCTACAGACGTAACACAACTAAATGTACTGTACCTTTTATAAAGCACAGCATAAGATTCGAAGCTGTCCTGACACCTATCCAGAAACTGAGGGAAAAATCCTCTCATTTATGATATAACCACAGAACAGGAAGCCTCACAAGGAAGTCTCACAAGTCTTATTTTTGTTGCCACAGATGACCTACCCTACTTGAAGTGTCCCCTGCACACTGTCCTAAAACTCACCCCTGTGGCTTATGGTAAGTCACTGCACTGTTCATAAGTCAACTAAACCATTTTCTGACGCATTTGTGACGCATTTTTCTCCTGCTTTTCTCTTTGAGGTTGTAAAGTGGACATGTTTGATCTGAAGGTTGAGGCTGTCAACACTCACAGGGACAGGCCACTAGTAAGCTTCTCTTTAATATTTTGTGTCATGCACATTCAGTCTTTTTACTCTGAAGTCTGCACTGTCCACCCAGTTCACTGCAGTGCACGTGTTCAGTGCATGCAGCTTGAAGAGGCGGTTTGAACTCGACAGTAAGGTCAGGGCTTTATTTATGGATTCAAACCAAAATTACATGCTGATGTTTTGACTTTCAGGAGTCAGATATCTTTTCTAAAACATCCCAGACCCAGATGTCACAACTAAAACTCTTTGTACATGGTACTCTTTGCGCCCACAAGCAATTTATTTAAGTATCACCAAGTACATGGTGATAGCAATTTATTTAAGTATCACCAAGTACAAGGTGATACTTTAATAAATTGCTTGTGGGCAGATTTTGTTACCTTTTAGACAGAGCTAGGCTAGCCTTTTCCAGTCTTTATGCTCAGCTAAGATAGGCTAAGCAGTTGCTGGCTCTAGCTTCATATATAAAAGTTAGATATGAGAGTGTTATTTATCTTGTCTTATAACTTTGGGCATGAAAGCAAATATGCATAGTTCCCTAAATGTTGAACTGTTCCTTTAATTACCTATTTACACATGCACACGTCTGCCTGCTCCGTCTGTTGATGAAAAGAACGACAGAGAGAAGCACAGTTTCACTGATTATATGTGTTGTGCAGTCAAAGCCCTTTAACTACACCAAGGCATCTGTCATTACATGCAACCATTTTGCACGTTTCTGGCTATTTATAGCGCTTGTATAAGGATGAATTTATCACATGTACCCATAAACCATCATCAGCAGTGAAGCTTCAAACATCATTAAACGTCAGAAAGCTGATCAGTTCATTAATTTATAGCGACCATATTGAAAGGAACTTGTGTTTCACGACTAAGGGTATACAGAGAAATAGAACAATGCCTCCAATGTAAATGAAAAGAGTAATAAAATTTAGCTCTCAAAAGGAATGTTTTCCAAATGAAGTTTATAAATATGTTTTTGGCATCACATCACACAGTTGGCGAAACTGGCTGGCAGGCTGAATGTACAACGTTTAATTATTAAAAACCCACCTCTACCATCGTTGGATTGCTCTAGAAAAACTATGCCTGACCTGAAGTATGCATGAGGTGCACATATTCTCACCACATGATCTGTTTTTACAAATGTTAACGTGTGGGGAAACGACGTATGCATGTTGGTGGTGAGTGCACGTCGTATTTTCATCTGTACCCACTGGGAGCTGAACCATTGTACAGTACAGTGCCTTTTGTCTTGATTTCCTAATCAGTCAGCACCATGTTTTCTCCCTGGGTGTATAAGTTTGTGCTGATTACTGGACGTTTCAACCTCAAATCAGAGTGGGTGTTAACACATAAACACATTTACTGAGAAACCCCTTGTTAAATGGGGTGAGAGATATCCTGTCTGGTGAGACCAATATAACAGTGGCTTCTATAATTAGGGCTGTTCTTCTCAATTGCTGTTTCTCTTTGTTTGCCTTCTGACAGCCATTTACACAGGACACAGTGAGTCCAGACCAGAGAGCGATTTAATTAGTACAACATAAAAAGACACCTTAATCAATCCACTTTCTCTGTCTGTTCGTCACTCACCAGAATAAAGTCCAAACAGATGTGCCGCCAGCTGTCCTCAGAAGGAACAGCTTCACTCCGCTGTCCAGCCAAGACCAGATTAAACGTCCTCGTCTTTATAGCGTGGGCAACCCTCCACAGGCCCGCATGTCCCAGGCCCCCACTTTACCCAGCATGCAGTTTTCTGAGGCGTCTGAGGGAGCAGAGTTGCTGCAAAGTGAGGTCAGTGTTGTAAATGTAACGGAGCTTACAAGATTCTGAAAACAGAAAATATAAATAGGATTAAGAAGAATTGTTTTGACAGTTGTGACAGTAAAAACAACATTTTCACCAACGAACCAATGAACAAATGGAAATTCAAATGAAAAATATTATAGTTAACAAGATATGGTAAATTCATATGGAGCTCAGAAACCAACAAAAGGCAGTAAATGTTGGAAAGGGAACTGAATGCAAACAACAAACATTTCAGCTAGATAAATAACCACGGTTTAGTAAAAGAAATGTATTAAATTTTCTATTTTTACTTCTAACCTCCAATCAATCAATCAATGGTTAAAAAGAAAAACACTTTTTAGTTTTTGTTTACAATTCTTTTTACTCTTCTACTTCTACTCTTCTTGCAGTAGCTCATTTTATCTTTCAGCACCCTAGTTTTTCTACATGTTGCATCTTGGTCCACATTTAATCATTTATGCATTCCCTATTTTGCTATATGATAACATGGCAGGTCCATGTGCAACCAGCTATATTATTAACTGGTTATATTTTTGTGTTATCTGATTCTTTTTTTCTGCCTTTTGTCAGTTTTGGGATTCCATATATTCACATGTTACTCCAGAGATCAGTGCTCACATTCAATGATGTTCTTTTTTCCATGTGCTTGGATGTTTACAACAAACAGTGCCCTTGATAAACATCTTGGATGTGAAGGGATGGATCTTATAGTTTTTCCAATGTTTTTTTACTGTGGGAACTGGGAACAGACATGTTGAAAGGGAGTGTTTTGCTTTGTGTGGTAACCTCAGATTTTAATATTAGCTCAAGTTCAGTCAGTGCCAGTCAAAACAAACGTCTCATTCCTTTCTTCCTGAATGCTTCTAACTTTCTCTGCCTCTCCTTTGCTTCTTGCAGGACTCTCTGAACGGTTTCAGTGCAGCAGACACAGATGACTGTGTTCGGAGTTAGAGAAGCACAAAGAGGAATTTTCGGCCCTTTACTCATCTGTCACGTGGAATACGTGTACTCTTCTCCGCAAATTCCTCGTATCTTTGTTCATACTAATTACTTTACACTTTTCTTCACTTGGCTACATCAGTTCTGAGGACCAGCAGTGAAAATTGCAACCAGCTTCAGCCATTAAATTGTTGAGCACTGTGCCACACACTGTGTCTCACCCACTATGTGTTGTCTGTTCAGTTTTTGTTGGATAGGACAATGTGTGTGTCAACATGAATGTGCACATACACTATGTACAAAATGAACTCAATGCCTTTTCAGAACAGCCTCAGAAACTGAGCTGTGATCCACCTCAGATATACAATGTAAAGACTTGTTGTGACTCTGAAAACTTGTCCATTAGTTCCTACAGTAGTGCACTCGTCATATGATGCTGTATTAGATATAGAAAGTGTTGATTGTGAATCGTATACCTCAGTGGAAGCTACTGCCTTCAGTTTTAGTGTAAGAAGGTGCCTCTCTAGAGGGAAGCTATATACAGCCTTAATTTGTCCTCAGATTCTTTCTGATAATTACTTATTTTAACATTCCCAGGTAATGTGCATCCTTCCACTGGTGATCTGACAAGATGTAGTAGTAATTTTATTCCAAAGTGTCATTTAAGCATATTAAATATGAATTTTAATTTGCTGTGGGCAGACATAAGCTATAAAAAGTAATGAAATATTTTGTGTAGCTCTATAAAAGGTACAGCAGCTACAATGTCTCTGTGCTTTTTCTCTGTGACAGTTATTCCGTTCTTTTCGTCAATGACGCCTTTCTGTACATGTTTCCTTCTTCTCCAATAACTAGCTTGAATATATTCAGCCTCTCACTGTGATAATGTAAAGCCGATCACATTTGAACTCAACAAAATTTAAGCAAATATTTCAACCACAAAGTGCTGATATTGATATTGATGCTGGATATTATGCTGAGCTTTAATGCTGTTTAGTTTCTTCATAAGGAAAATATTGGTTGTGTACTGCTGATAGAATAATGATACTGTGTGTTAAGTATTGCCTTGATAGTATCCATATGGATGACATCCACTGAGACGACTTTAATTCCTGATCATAAAATAAATTATTTGGAAAAGTGCCTTTAATTTGAAGGACTACAAGGCTGCGGCAATAGAAATCAAGATACTGTACCTGATGTGCAAAATGATGTTTCATCTGAATTGAAGGATTGGCAATACATTTGAATGTAAAACCTTTAATGTTATTGCACACTGTCATGTACATGTTTCATTAAATTAAGTAAGTTTTATGTTGTGTTTGCATGGAGTTTTGTTTTGTGTTTTTGTGGTGAAAAAGTGTCTGTGTGTGTGTGTGTTTCTGTGTGTCTGTGTCTGTGTGTGTGTGTGTGTGTGAGAGAGAGAGAGAGAGAGAGAGAGAGAGAAAGAGTGAGCTCACTGGAGGCCTCCTCCCTGTCTGCTAAACACATGTTACGAAGAGCCAGACTCACTCACTTCACATGAACCCAAAACAGTGATTTACGAGTGTGAACAACACATCTTCACACAACACATCCAAATCCTGTTTTTGGCCAGCTGTGGTGTTGTCAGAATGACATAGAGTGCTTCTGGGGAAATTGTCAAGGATACAAATGATGCAACTTTCACTGCGTGGCATACAGTTTGTTTTATTTGCCGGTATCACTGAGTCACTCCTGTCTAAAAAACACATCTCAAACACATCCCAGGAGCTCTTAGTTAGATGTGATTTTACTACACTCACTGAATGTTTAAAGTTATGTAACATGCCTTAAGGGTCAAATAATCATTTTTATTTCAGAGAATTTAATCTGCAAATTGCTTTGACGCAGTAAATAATCCTTGAATGAGTGGATTCCGATAGAAAGCTCTGATTCATTTCCAGGCTCATTACCTATGTTAAACAAGAAATTGTTCCAGATTTTTAAAAGGAAATGATACATACGAATGTATTATTCATTCTTAGTTTTAGTAGTATAAAATACTATTCAATGAAAGATAGAAATTGACACATCTGTAGTAATATGATTTAATTACTTAAATTTACATTTGAAGGTCTTAGTGGTGCCAATCAGGCCTTGAAGGTTTGGGTCGCAACAACAGCAGCATTAAAAAAAAAGTCTGATAATAACCTCACAATGTAACCAGACTGTATAACATCATAGAATCAAGAAGAATCAGAGAAGCAAACAGATGCAACATCCATGGGAAGTGATATTTGTTTGCATTGTGCACCATATACATAAATCTCAGGTGTGATATTTTTCATCAATATCTCTAACTGGGATGAAGGAGTGGACCCCATATTCCTTCACAAAGATCTTCTCTCCCAGACGTACTGTATGTAACCTGTTCATATGAAGCCGTTTTAGCCATCAATGGAATCCATTCTTTAAAAGTAGACAAGGTGGAGGATTTCCAATGGCGTAAAGTTACTTCACAACCTGTAATCATAACAGGGCGGTAACCGCAACCAAATAGACACAATGCAGGAGTGCATTCCTACCAACTCATTCATAGAACTCATTCATAGAAGACAATCTCTTTTCCACATATTTCCTACTTTTTCACATAAATATAGTACATGTGCCAGGGTCCCTCTTTACCACATCTCCAGCATGTGTCATTGTCCCTCAGTTTTGGTTTTGCAAGTTGATAGTCTTGTAAAGTATTAATTGGGATTGTGATTCATGTTAGTAAGTGTACCAAGAAGCTAAAAAATCCTTCCCACAGTCATCTGAGATTTCTTGGCGAGTATCCTTTACCCAACTAATTTTCAACCCTGCCAATCTGGGGCATCTGTGTTTCTCTGATGTATTCATAACATTTTGATCTGCCAAACTGTTTTTATTTCATTTTTAGAAGGAGCTCCCGAATACAGGCTTAAAGAGATATTTTATTCAAAGAGGATACAATGTAATTTATCTAATTTGATTCTCCAGAAAGCTGAGCAAGGCAGATTGTTAATTTTTAAGAGTCTCAAAGGATCTAACTCCCTGTTACAGTCCTCTGATGGCTGCAAATTTATTAGATATGTTGTAGGTTAAGATTCTTAAATTCAAAGCAGGAAAAGTACAGAAGCTGAGAAAAGCCATATTGCAAATGTTTTTTACTTCGAGATAACAAAAAGTTGTTTTTTCCTTATGATATCTTGTTATCTCAGGATAACAAATTTTGTTATCTTGAGAGTATGGACTTACTTGGCTTCCACAGAAAGACCTCATAAAAAACATTGGTGCCCAACCTTTTTGGTTCACATCCCTTAAAGATGAAGCTGTGTCTTATGTTACCTCTTCTCACAGATTACATATGTCAATGAATTGTGAGCAGTTATGTCAGATTGTTTCAGTTGAAAGGTTTTTAGAGGCCTGTGAGGGTAAAACTATCTGTTACATACATGAAGGGAAGAGTAGAGAAAAATACACAAATGAAGCAGCTTCAACCTAAAAATACTCCTCACATATAATACATTCATAATCTAATGCCCCGAAAGGCACAATTATTTGCAATATTTTACCTTTAGTGGATAATATTTCACATCTTTTACACACTTTTCACTTGTAAATATGGCTTTTTACCCTTTGGTATTTTATTCAGAGATCTACTACTTCATCCAGAGCTGCTTTGGTGCACAGTCACAACCACAGTGACTAAAAATCACGTTGGGAAAGTTGTGACGTGATTGTTACCACCACCACAGGAAGTCCAACTATTTAGCTGTGGAATTTAAAATAACCAGAAATAATACAATCATAACAACTTGGATAAGGGAGGCCAAAAAAAATTTCCATTTGCGCTCCAACATGTATTCTGGCCTTATATAGCCTGTTTGTAATTCAGGATTATTATTAGTACTGTTTATTAGTCTATCAAACAATTTTTGTCTACTCGGCTATTAATGGTAAAAGGTCAGCAGGGTTAAAATGAAATGGGAGTTTTGTTCCCTTGGAGGATGCAAAACCCACAGTCCTTGTTTCATGCAAAAATTCTAAAGTGACGCTATGTGATTCTCCACCAGTCTGAATCAATCGAGTCAATTGGGCTTCTCTCCAAGCCTCTCACAGTCATTTTTGTACAGAATTCCCTTTTTTTGTTCAGTGTTTCTGTGCTGAGCTGTAGTGGAAGGGTAAAAAATAAGGTTAAAAATAAGGAATTTTGTACCAGAAAGGCTTTAACTTTGACAGATAGCACCTTGATTTGTCCAACTCAGACTGCTAAAGCCTCATTTTAACTTCAGATAAACTTTAGAATTTGGAATGCAGATTTACATAGGTAGTGCATTAAAAGGTGATGCTCTGTAGCCAGTATGAACAGGAGGGATGATTAAAGCTAAGAAAAAAGGAAACTCTTCCTGTGTACATATGGGCACCTGATTACATTTTTTAAGACTGACTTGAAAATTGTGAATATATATGCTTTACTGTCATACTGAGGATTTTCATCTTTTATGATAAAATCCTCCAATTACTCTATAATTTCAACAATTACTGCAATAATTTCCATAAGATAAATGTTTTGGTTCTTTTTTTCTTCTTTGAATTACGTATGTGATTCTTATTCCAATTGGAAATCTTGCTTGGATAAGATAGATAGGTTTGGGACACCACTGCGCCACATATATTGTGTGTATATGGGCTTGATTTGGCCTGATTTGAATTACTTTTAGCCTTCATGTAGATACACCATAGGGGTTCTGTTAGAATGATTAAGTTTTTAAATGTATTTTTCACAGTAGCTACCTCTCGAGGTGCTTGTTAACCAACGTGACATCACTCTTAAATTTGGATACCCAGTTTTTCTTTTCTTTTCTTTTGTGAATCAGTGTGTGTTTTGTTTGTTTTTTTAAATACAGTGCTCTGTGTCCCTCTGTCTCTTTGGCGCTGTTTTCTCAGTGATAGTATATTTCCATCAGCTGGTCTCCTGGGCTGCTCCTGTTTTGTGACACTCCTACTCTATAAATTACTTAATTTGACCCTGCTGTTGCCACTTGAAGTGTAATCCGCGACTAAACTGTTTTCGCACTGAACGACGCAGACTACAAACGTGATGAATTTCAGGAGGAATATTCTGCTTTTCTGGTTTGCTGCGCTTACTTCAGGTAAATTAAACAAATAAAATCCACATGAATGTCGCAGGTTGTGATTTGTTTTGATATTGTAACTAATGGTGATTGGTCTTCCAAAAAAAAAAGAAGCTAGGGAACGAAAGGAATGTTCGTCGCCGCCGGAATATCAACACGCCATACTAGTAAAAACATTTTCCAGCAAGCAGAAGTTCCACCATGGGGAGAAGGTTTATTACAACTGCCATGGGGACTTCACTCCATCCAGTGGCAGCCGAAGTGTGGAGTGTGATAGAGGACAATGGACCAAACTGAGTCTGAAATGTGAAAGTAAGTACCTGGCACATTCGCTGTCTCTGTGTATGAATAACAGAGAAAAGAGACTGTTAAATGTTGTTTACCATGTAAGTAAAGGTTTATTGTAGCCCAGTATCACAAAGCAGGCTACGTCTCAAAGGGCTGTAGGCTTATGAAACAACAAAGAACAAATAGGCCTATAATAACGTAAAAAGTGATGAAGTACACAAAAAATGTAAAGTATTTAAAAGGGGGCGTAAAAAATATGATAGGGCCGATAAAATAGGCACACAATACTCCTGTACATTTTTACCTGGACAGACAGGCACATATAGGCTACATAGACGTAAATAATTGATTTCAGTGGGATATTTGCAAAACAATTGATATTTTTTCATTTTTTCAAAAATTTTAAATTTGAAATACCAGCAGCTTAGAAAAGCCAAACGCCCCCTAGTGGCCATGAGGGAACCCTGCATGTTATTCCAGCAGTCACTGAAGTTTTTTTTAAGCTTTGTATTGCTTAATTATGTATGTATGTATGTATGTATGTATGTTGCTAACTCTCAACTGTACAGGATCAATTTTAATGTCTCATGTTGTAAAGAGTGCAGAGCTTGTTCATTTCCTGTACCTGTTGGGTTTGCTGGATCGAATGACGAAATAATTATCCCAATAAATTTGTCTTGCTTTGATTTACAATAACACATGGGTAACTGTAGGGGTCTGTAGATGAGCTCCCATAGTATATTACCATTCCAGTGTTTTTAAAAATGACAAAATGTTGGTGGGAAAACTCAGAAGTTAGTGAGTTGAATCTGATGCCTTCAATTATACAAAATGGATTAGAATCCGATTACAGCCTTCCCTTCCTGCCAATTTTGATTGGGTGTGTGCCCCCCCTACAGAGAAATCATGTGGCTATGCTGGGGATCTGCCAAATGGTCAGCTGCACTATGAAGGGAATTCATACCTTGGGGAGAAGGTTTATGCTGAATGCAACAAGGGGTAAGTTATACCTGAAGAAGCTCATGTAAAACTTGGTCAGAATAAAACTCTGAATTTGTGTTTGACAATAACATATCTCTCCACGTTGACAGATACACCCTGAAAGGACCAAACTATATGATATGCAAGAAGTCTGGATGGACTAGTGAATTCCCATCTTGTGAAGGTGGGCAATGGAATATTAGAGCATTCTTACATGCTTGTGATCTGAAACCCAGTCATATTATTTGCATATTGTGGTTGACAGTACTTCAGAGAGGTGATTTTTGATGTGGGTGGGGTTTTCTTTAAAAACTGAGTAACCACTTGCTAAATGTGATGCACAATTAAGGTATTTTACTTAATCCCTTAATCAAGGGTGTAGGTTTGCATATGAATGGTAGGGACATGTCCCTACCAATATTTTGGGAGGCCAGAATTGTCCCTAACAATATTTGAATGAACTTATTTGCACTATATTTGGAGTGAAGTTAAATTAGGTCATTCCAATGTGCCTTATAACATAAAATGGTGTGCTATATCAAAGTATGAGTTTAGTTTGTTGAAAAATTCCATGGCTTTTTTTTTAAACTTTTTTTTATGCCTTTTTTATTACACTGACTTTTTTTTTTGATGTTTGTGTTGAATTTGTATGTTTTCTCTTTATCTGCGTGGGTTCTCTGAGTACATCAGTTTCCTCTTGCAGTACAAGGACATGCACATTAGGTTTATTGGCGACTCTAATGCCCCAACCGTACTATGACGTTTTTATACCTTAATACAGAATTTTTTTTATACCTCACGTTTTTATGCCTTACTATACTCTGACATGTTTTAGCGTCTTTATACCTTACTCTGACATTTTTGACAATTTTATGCCTTATACTATGTAGTTGTTTTTTTTAATGTTTTTATAACTTACATATTATGGTGCTTTTTGACAATTTTATGCCCCATTATAACATATTTTGATATCATTTCATGCTTTACTATACTATGACTTTTTTTTTTCACTTTTTATGCCTTACTATACTACCATTTTATGCCTTCTTATACTATGACGTTTTTTCACTTTTTGTGCCATAGTATAGTCGTTTTTTTCCATTTTTAGGTCTTACTATACTATGATGTTGTTATGCCTTCCTATACTATGACGTTTTTTCACTTTTTATGCCATAGTATAGTTGTTTTTTTTCCATTTTTAGGTCTTACTATACTATGTTTATATGCCTTCCTATACTATGTTGTTTTTTGTTTTGTTTTTTTCCATTTTTAGGCGTTACTATTATGACATTTTTTATACCTTACTTTATTATGGCGGTTCTTTTTCACTTTTTATGCCATAGTATACCATGTTGGGTTTTTTTTTCCCATTTTTAGGCCTTACTATACTATGACGTTATTATGCCATACTATACTATGAAATTTGTTCACTTTTTATACCATAGTGTATACTGTTGTTTTTACACTTTTTATGCCACACTATACTATGGTTTGTTTTTTTTTTCACTTTTTTTGCCATACTATACTATGGTTTTTTTAGTTTTTTTTTTTTGTTGTTTTTTTCCATTTTTAGGCTATACTATACTATGACGTTTTTTTAAACTTTTTATGCCATACTATACTGACGTTTTTTCCATTTTCATGCCTTATTATACTATGACATATTTATGACCTTTTATGCCATAGTATACTATGTCGTTTTTTTTTCCATTTTTAGGCTATACTATACTATGATGTTTTTTCACTTTTTATGCCATACTATACTGACGTTTTTTCCATTTTCATGCCTTATTATACTATGACATATTTATGACCTTTTATGCCATAGTATACTATGTCGTTTTTTTTTCCATTTTTAGGCTTAACTATACTATGACGTTTTTTCAGTTTTTATGCCATACTATACTATGGGCGTTTTTTCACTTTTTATGCTATAGTATACTATGTCGTTTTCTTTTCCATTTTTAGGCTATACTATACTATGAGGTTTTTTTAACTTTTTATACCATACTATACTATGACATTATTATGCCTTCCTATATTATGGCGTTTTTTCACTTTTTATGCTAAAGTATACTATGTTGTTTTTTTCACTTTTTATGCCATAGTATACTATGTCCTTTTTTTTTTTTTCTTTCCATTTTTAGGCTATACTATGATGTTTTTTCACTTTTGTATGCCATACTATAATATGACATTATTATGCCTTCCTATATTATGGCGTTTTTTTCTCTTTTTTTTTTGCCATACTATACTATGTCGTTTTTTTCCCATTTTTAGGCCTTACTATACTTTGGCGTTTTTTTTTCACTTTTTTTGCCATACTATACTATGTCGTTTTTTCACTTTTTAAGCCATACTATACTATGACATTATTATGCCTTCCTATATTATGGTGTTTTTTCACTTTTTATGATATAGTATACTATGTCGTTTTTTTCCCATTTTTAGGCCTTACTATACTTTGGCGTTTTTTTTTCACTTTTTTTGCCATACTATACTATGTCGGTTTTTTTTTTTTTTTTTTCTTTCCATTTTTAGGCTATACTATACTCGTTTTTTTTCCATTTTTAGGCCTTACTATACTTTGGCGTTTTTTTTTCACTTTTTTTGCCATACTATACTATGTCGGTTTTTTTTTTTTTTTTTTCTTTCCATTTTTAGGCTATACTATACTCGTTTTTTTTCCATTTTTAGGCCTTACTATACTTTGGCGTTTTTTTTTCACTTTTTTTGCCATACTATACTATGTCGGTTTTTTTTTTTTTTTTTTTCTTTCCATTTTTAGGCTATACTATACTCGTTTTTTTTCCATTTTTAGGCCTTACTATACTATGGTGTTTTTTCACTTTTTATGCCTTCCTATATTATGGCGTTTTTTCACTTTTTATTTTATAGTATACTATGTTGTTTTTTTCCATTTTTAGGCCTTACTATACTTTTTTACTTTTTATGCCATACTATACTATGACATTATTATGCCTTTCTATATTATGGCGTTTTTTCACTTTTTTGCTATAGTATACTATGTAGTTTTTTTCCATTTTTAGGCCTTACTATACTTTTTTACTTTTTATGCCATACTATACTATGACATTATTATGCCTTTCTATATTATGGCGTTTTTTCACTTTTTTGCTATAGTATACTATGTAGTTTTTTTCCATTTTTAGGCCTTACTATACTTTTTTACTTTTTATGCCATACTATACTATGACATTATTATGCCTTTCTATATTATGGCGTTTTTTCACTTTTTTGCTATAGTATACTATGTAGTTTTTTTCCATTTTTAGGCCTTACTATACTTTTTTACTTTTTATGCCATACTATACTATGACATTATTATGCCTTTCTATATTATGGCGTTTTTTCACTTTTTTGCTATAGTATACTATGTAGTTTTTTTCCATTCTTAGGCCTTACTATACTTTTTCACTTTTTATGCCATACT